TAATAATTTAGTTATAAGTTTTCCTACAATGGAAACATAATATTATATTTTATTTTTTCATATTTTTAACAAATAATTTTGTTCAAAATACCATGAAATGTGTTTCATAACAGTCTGAATGTATTTTGTTTAACTTCTATTTTTGGTACTTTTAACACTAATAATTAGATTGTATATCCGTCGGGAATTTCTTCCATTCTAAATCAATGCTCAACGTACCATGTTTGTATGTCAGCGAATCATTTTATAAATTGGTAATATTATATTTTATGTTGGAAAGTGGTTAGTAGCAAACTTTATTGAAAAAACTAATGGAATATAATATTTTATGGACAAAGTATAAGATTGAAAACAGTCAATGAAAACAAATTATAAAAATTAAAAAAAATAATCACATATGATTCGATTAATATAAAATATGAAGTTATATTTCGAGTTTTATTTAAAAATAACTACAGTTAACTTAAGAAAAAAAATAGTTTTGTAAGTAATACATTAACATTTAGTTTAAAGTTTTTAAAAAGAAATTATTTCATACTTTATTAAAGAGAAGTTAATTTGATATATATCTATCTCATAAATCTGGTATAAGTTTCTCTGTAAGAACTTACTATGAAATTAGGTGAACATTAATTACTTTCTTTTATAATACGTAATTCATGCCTAAAGTTTTAAATGTTTTTTTTTAAATCATTCCACTCATAGACATGGGCGTCCCCAGAAATTTTTCTAGGGTGAGGGAGAGAGGGAGGGGCAAAATACATTTAAAAAATAAATGAAGATTTTTTTATATGTTTCGTTAATTGTTATTGTTATATTATTAAAATTATTATATATTTACATTATTACTATTAAGTATTATTTTTATTACACAGATTACAAAGTACTCAAACTATTATAAGATAAAATAATTTAGTTATTATTAAAAAGAGTTTTATACTATTTGTCTATAGTAAGTATTTCGTAATTACTAAATTAGTGTGTTATAGGTAATGCTCGAAAAAACAATTTAAAATTCTAGGGGGACAAGTGCCTCTACTTTTTGGGACACCTACGCTCATAGATAGTGTAAAGGGGTTTATAAATCTTATATATTGAATTAGTTTTGGTTTATTTAGGTTTTAGTGATTTTTAATTCACTTTTGATAATGAATTTAAATTTTAAATACAAACATTTTTATAAACATAATTATTTGTTGCAATACAAGTTACTGCTATGACATTTTATTTTTATTTTTATATTTAATATAAATCTCATATGTTAAAAAAAAAAGAAATAACAAGAAATTAAATTAGGTATATTAAAAATTAAGCATTGATAAAATTATAGTTACAAATTTACAATACTTTTGTTTAATTTTTATACAACTCAACAACATAATTTATTTGTATAAATACATAGAAAATTTGATTATTCAGTTTAAAAGTTCGTATTACCCGCATAATAAGTCGGCTATTCTATAAATAATCAATAAATATAGGAAATATCTAAATAATTAATCATAATACTCAAAAATCCCTGAAAGATGATTTTCAAAATTTCCCATAACATATAATGTTTATTATAGCGTACCTATACGAATAATTATGGAGCTGATGTGGTCACACGAATAAACGGGATGATTATAATAATGCATATGGAGACTTCAATACGCCCACAATAATTCAAAAAATATGCTTATTTTACCGTCACATCCTCCCCGCCCACCTGAATTTAATATTATATTTTACCTTCATACCGAGTTCTTGTTTTTCTTCTATTTCAAAAATATGCTATTTATATTTACTTTTACTGTTCGAACAATATAATATTATACAAAGAGAATGCGGACAAAACAGCCATACATATACATATAAGAGCTATAAATTCAATGCAAAGACCCTTGTTTGCGTCTGTTTACTCTTAACGGAGACGCCGCGCGAGCTGCTCGTATTATACGAACAACTCAATTATATCGTATTTTGTACCTTTTTATTCTTTTCTCTCCGGTGTGACAATTTATATTATATATGTATTTTTTTACCCCTATCGGTGGTTACGTTGCAGGCGTAAAAAACCGACTTTTACGTAAAGCTCAGGTAATGTCCCCTTTCTCAGTTCCTATATAATATTATAAATATATATATACGTGATAATACGTGTATTGACCTTAGCGAGGCGTAAAAAGAAATCCTATTCCACATCGTTTCCACCCCTCTTATCACAGACCGTGACTAATGTGAAACGATTGTGATGGACGTATGCTGCGCTCTCCCTACGAAGATTGTGGTAACGATAACAACAGTATAAGTACACATTCTATTGAGATTAGTGGCGAACATATGACTACATGGTGGGATAGCCTGGATCAGTCGCCAGCAAGGTCGAATTACTAACGATCGCCCCAAACCTTGTGTTTTTGTACGTTGCTGGATAAAAAACATCCCTTTAACGAGAAAATGTCTGTAATTCTTATTTTTTTTTTTTTTTCATGAAAGATTACTTTTCAAGTCTTGTCTATCAACGAAATAACTATGTCTGTAAGTAATTTCATTTATTGACCGAAAAACATTCTTTGAAATTCTTTGTCTTTGGAACATTCTTATCTATATACTACATACGTGTGTTAAGTATATACTATAAAGGATTTAAGCGTGTGTTGTGGCGTTATAATACTTTTCCATGTCGTCGATACAGCACTACGCGCGTTATTCACTCGTTATACAAAATATTGGAATTCGGTATATCAAAATCTTGTAGCTAACTTCAATAATGTTTAAACGCTTATTATCGCGTAAAAATATATTAAATTTCTTATAGACGAGCTGTATAAAGGAGAAGATGATGTTGTTATTATTTGCCTAAAATCGATGGAAAATCTGGTACCCTCGAGCACTTTGGTTGTTCATTAAAATGTGCTTTCGATTATGCGCCAACAACACGATGCTATGTAATGTAGGGTGGTATTTCTAGCGAAGAGTTTAAATTGCTTTTGTATACATACATATATATCCTACACCTCCCTTCAAACGAGTTAATCGCGTATCCCTACTCAGTACTCTGCGATCGTTTAACAGTCCCAATTTAAAAGCCCCTAGGGTAACGACAGTATATATACAATAAACATATACCCACTATGCGTGGTGCCTCATCTATAATATAACTATTACGTCGAATATGTGTTTAGAGAAAATGGTTTTAATGCCAAAAACACGTAAGATAAACTAAAATTGTATGGAAATGTGTTGCGGTCATAAACGGATATGCTTTTAGTAAAACACATGTTGACCATGTACAAACCTAGCTATATTGAGTGCCTATATTATATATACATATTATAACGGTTTGACTACAACAAAATGCATTAGCGAGCTGGTAAGATGACTTGTCTCTCTGCATATATATAACATGCTCGACGGTCAATTCACTGTATAATGACAGGTAAACATCTGGTACGTGATCGACTAGATCTATGGCCATATCAAGGGTTAATAGTGTTAATACATACATATTTTCATGGCGTATACACAAATGGATTTATTACATGTTATTTAGGTATATAAATTATACACAATAATATTATATATTATATAAATACTTAATACTTATGTATTTTTTATGGAAAGGCTCTTTAGACTTTTGACCACCCGGCGTGAGCATACATCACGATACTATACAGACGTATAATACCTGTCCGAAGTAATCATGTAATATTATTATTTCTATAACGTGGTACAGATACAACAAAGCTATCTGCAAGAGATTGTAAATCGAAAAATTTTAACTTTGAAAAAAATAACTGTAGAATACAATTAGGTACGCAGTATATGAGACGATTATCTTATTACAAGACAATAAGACAATATTTAAAAAATTACAAGTTTATATTTTTTTTTTGTTATTCAATTTTAATAACTAACAATGATAGTTTTAAAAGTCAAATATTAGATATATTTTATTCAACCGAATAAAATATATTTTGAATCTTTAAATATTCTTCAGTTTTAGGATATTGCACCCTGATTCTGATTTAAGATAAAATTATTTGTCTATATTAGTAGGTATAGTGTTGATTATATAGTTTGAATAAATATAATGTCATAAATCGTGCGTATTCCAGAGAAACGTGTTGCATGCGATATATTTATGTAAATTATATTGGTTCATAGGCAGGGAAATCGTTTCAATATTCAAAAATACGATCACTACAGGGCTAACAACGCACTCTGACGCATGACAATGTTGACGATTTTCGGTCGGTGTGCAGTAATCTATTTTATTTTTCATAAGCAGACCATGTTTAGAAGATTTCGGGATGACAAATTATCTGACAAAAGAAAGAAAAGAAGTAGGAACGAGCGCGAAAAAAAAAAGAATTATAATTTGGTTAAACTTTTTTGCACCCTCGTCGTAGGAGATTCTTCTTCGCCGAAATGAATCGCATGTTTACGTGAATGTTTTATATGCGTATAAGAGATAGAGCGAAAACGTAGTTTAATGGTCCTTTGTTCGTTCAGGGTGTGGAGGAGGAGGAGCAGGATGATACCGAAATGTGACTGTTAATGTCGGGCGTCATTGATCATTTGCTACCGACTCCTCCTATGCATATACATATATCTATTCGAATTACCATATATTTCCCATTCATCTCTATAGTGCGACGGACGTCGACGACGAAGGACCACAACCACGTCACCGCGGGCGCAATTTTTCCCCGTTCCACTCTTCTCGTATTATTACCCTGTCTGCAGGTAGTGTCTCGGCAATCTGAAAATTTCTAGACCAGTGCTATGTAATATTATTGGTACTTCACTCACCACTATTATTATGCATTCTAATATCATATGGTAGTACTGGAATCCTCATAGTTATCGTAACGTGTTCACACAATACAGATTTTGTCATGTATCAAATTATATAATATGATAAACTTACTATACAAATCGACTCACTGTATTAGAATATAATTAATAATATTATGTGTATATAATAAACTAATCGGTTATTAAATGAATTTCAGGGCCTCCTGGTAAACGGGGAAAGCGAGGGAAGAAAGGCGACACCGGCGATCCAGGACCAGCGGTGAGTGACAATTAAATACTTCAACCGAAACGACCCAAACAACGGACATATTTCAATAAAATATCATATTATATTATATTATTATTACATCGAAACTGTGAACTCATATTGGGTTCCATTTCGAACGGAGGAAATTGATTATAACGGCCTCATGACCGCAACAGTGATTTCGGGCTGCAGTACAATACATCTTGTATTTAATATTATTTAGGGATCCGTGGTCCGGAACGGTCTGTGCACGCGTTGTCGTAAAAATAGTGCGACACCGCCGCCGCCACTGTTGGGTGGCACCGTGCCACTGATGGAATTTTAAGCCGCCGAGTTAATGGCTTAAACGCATTTTAAACAATGCAATAATGTTTAATTTTAATCACTAGGAGACCAAATTATCTCGTTATTTTAAATTTATTTATTTTTTTCGTCTACAAATTTTAAACCGCGATAGTTAATGTGTTGAACATAATTATTGTAATTATTACGAGTGAAGAGGTTGTGTAAACATTATGTACATACCTGAATACAGCGTAATATCATATTATTATATGACTCAGCACAAACCACCATACCTATACATACTTCATATTCACAACGCGTATTGTTGTAATGTGTATTACATTGAAACGAGTATGATTGGCTTTATCGAGTAAAAAGCAGTTAGTAAAGAAGATTACTATTTCGGTCCATTATAATGTATAAAATAAAACGCTTGATTACTTTAGGTGGTTTTTTTTTTAAATTTTTCGATTAAATAATGTCGATATTCTGTATAATTGTTCTATGTATAATCGTTCAGAATACGAAGGACCACGTCAACTATTAAACAATGTGATTATTATATATACTTACATTGTACGTGCGTTTTATAAAAGTACAATACGGTGATTCTCAAAACGAATTAACAATGTCAAACGTTATTTTGCATAATATTATTAAATGTAAAGTTTAAATGCTTGCTGAGAAAAATAATATACCAATTACTGTAACATTTTTTTTCTTATTGAGTCACTATATATATATTTAATGACATTGCGTATTATTCGTGCAATATATCAATTATTCTCACTAATGATTAAAATAACAACTGTGATTTTTCTACCAAGTAAACAACTGCATTAATATTTTTATTAACAAGTACGTTTTAAAGAAAAAAAAATTATAATTGAAAAGGTTTTTTGGAATTCCATTATAATTTATACATATTTTTTACGTGGTCGTCGTGAATATAATCGTCTACATAAACGCCAAACTAAATCAACATTAATACTTATATAATAGTGTTATTATTTTCAAATTGCGCACTGTTCTGATGCCAGCTTCAAAAATTATTCTTGAAACATCTAAATTAATTTAATTTTCTCTAACTATAAAGTCTGGTAACTAAGCTATTTATAATTATATTATAATTTATCATTTATTGTTAACAAATGTTTGTGACACCAAGCTTAATAGTGACGAATGTTAAACCGCGCTATTTACTTGTAATGTCTTATTTAGATGAATAATGCGCACAAATAATAGTTGTAAAGATATGTACTTTAAGTTCAAAACATCTAATAAATAACATTTTTTATTTTTTACTTATATAATTTCTGTAAGACTTTTATTTTCGTGACCCAAAGCTCAGAATAAAACATGGTATGATCTAGTAGAAAATACTCACAATGGCTATTAATTATTAATAAATTATTAACGAAGGTAGAGAAAGAAAGATAATTATAATAATCTTAACTGACAGGTATATATTTATAATTATTGATATAAATAGATATATCAGCGGTTTTTATAATAATGATATTTAAGTAAAATTTATATTAATTTCCTGCATACCGAAATTGGTGTATGCTGTTAAAAACAATTTCCACTGTTGTAATAATATAATAGTTTTTATTATTATCGTTGTTGTCGTTGGTGTTGTTGTTAACAATTTATTTTACTACGTAAAAAGCAACATCGAAATATATGTTTTACAGGGCCCGGCAGGTCCACCTGGAAAAAATGGTTTTCCGGTATTTATTTACATCAAATTATTTTATTCCTAACATTTTTTTTATGTTATTATTATTATTACTAATTTAATTTTATCATAATATAATATTCATATTGCATATTGCATATATTATTATACACTTATTAATATTATTTATTTTGGCACACATAATTCATAATCACGCTCGAACGACAATCATGCTTGTCAACATGACTATTTTTTTTTCTTTTCTTTTTTTTTTCTTTTTTTTTGGCCCAAAAATCACAAAAACGTAAACACACACACACATACACACTCACACAGCACGTACGCACGCATCGACTCCAACAAAACCATACACGTAAACAGTTTTTAGCTTTTATTTTATTTCTCATATTTTGACATTATTTTTTGGCAACGTCTATTTTTTCGTTGATATTCCATTTATTTTTTTTTCGATTCCTGCACTCGATACACCCGATTGTTACTATGACATACTTACATGTATTACAATAATTTAATACTATAAAAATAATTTTTAAACATCGCATAGTATTGTGTATAAGAGAACCCCTGTATGATTATCTGTTTTCCGATGCGAGTTAGTTATATTATGTACCATAATATTATAATAATAAACAAAAAAAAAAAAATCACCATAGCTTTTCTTATTTTATTATTATTTATCATGTACAATCACGATTGATACAAACGGTGGGGCGTGAAAAGGTTTTTAAAATTTTAATTTATCCACCCCGTGCCGATATAATAATATACGTAGGAGTATTTTATACATTTAATCATTGACAGATTGATTTTATAATAATAATTAATGATATTTATTCGGTTTTTTAATTTTTTTTTTTTTATTTTTTTTTATTATGTTTTATGATTTGCCTATTATAGGGCTCAAAAGGAATGAAAGGGGCCAGAGGTTCAATGGTAAGAAAACCGTCTCCAAACGAGAGTTTATCTTGTTAATGATTTTGCGCCATGTCTAATAATATTAATATTGTAATACGCGTTTTCGCTCTGCTAACAAATTAATGATATCTAATTAATATACTTACATTTTAAATTGGTGTCGGTAACTATTTTAACAACCATATCAATAATTTATACAATTGTTAATTAACATACATCAGTTTTTAAATGATTTTAATATAGGATATTTTAATTAAATCTTAGAAAAGTGAAATTTTTTTATATAAAATACTTTTTTAAGGTAATTATTATAAATGATTCATTATTCTTAATTGTTGGTTATTGCATAGTTATACAACATTTTGCTTATAAAAAAAATTTTCACCTACATATATCTGGGAAAGAGATCCGAGAGCCTAAAATAAAACTAAATTTTTACCATATTAAAGGATAATTTTGATTGAGCAATAAATTTTTTATCACTTATGTAAAAAAAAGCCTTAAAAAAAAAAATTGGTTCCATTTGAATTAGTATAATATAATTTAAATGTTTTTATATTGTTTAGGTGAAACTAATTTTAATTAACAATTTGTAAAGGTACGTTGTGTTATCATTGAATTTAAGATCTCGATGAGACAATTAATTTCACAAATTCTGTATCGTATTAATCTAAGAATTGATGAGAACTGTGGAGTGATACTAAATTGCGAAAAACTCGGCATATCAATTGTGACGTGGGTGACCTAACCCATACGTGATCCGGTCATAAAATATGTAAAATGTTCCCTGCACAAACCTATTTTTTCTAAATTTTTTACTTTCTTTTAAGTGCGTGACTGTAATTGTATAATATAATATTATTACTATTTTATACACTAAATTCAAAACTCGGATCGCGAGCTAAGGATTATTTTTAGTTCGTAATTTAATATTATATTCTTTACGATATTTATACTACACATACTATACCAATGGCGTGTATGGTAGGAGGGCACTATTAAAACTTTTTTCCCTCGACGCCTTGAACATTAATCATCACTTTGAAATTTTTTATCAGTTACAAGTAACATACATTTTTATTTTATGTTGTAATACATAATATATATTATAGCGTATTATGTATTCATATATATTTTTATTTTTTAATTAATATATATAGATATCAGTTATAAAACTAACCCAAGACCCAACTGCTAAGAGTCAGGGAAGTATCATCACCTACGTACTAAAATATAACACTGGCCTATACGTATATAATACTATATTGTCTACTTTACAATAGTCGCTATCCGTTTTATATTTAAAACTTACTGTCTGCGTACAATATAACGTTATTATTAAAACATTTTTAAAAAGTTTCAAATGTTTTTAATTTTTTATTGTAAATTTTAATTTTTTAATTATAAAGTATGTGGTTTCTCGCCGACGAGGTATGTAGTGGTCACGAGGAAAATTACAGAAATATGTTTCCAATCTCTAACTATGACCGCGACAGCGGTAGAAAATAATACACTACAAAATATTTCGAAAAGAAGACTTTCCGGTTTCGATTAAATGTTCATTCATTTTGTAAGTAATAATCTAATATGTTTACTGCTTTGAACAGCCCGGAGGAAAAAAAAATAGAAATCTATAAAGTGTAACCGTAATCGAAACACTGTTCAAATATATACACATTTTACTAATTAATTTTGTTGTGGACTTTAATAATTATTTCTGTGTTATTTAAATATTGACTGCGCTCAATCGTGCTATATAAATATTGCTTTCGATTAAACTCGCTAGTTTAAAACGTCACGATAATGGTGCGTAATTGAGTTTAATTTCTTTTTCATCTCTCATATGGACTTTGTGTTCCTTATTTGTTTTTTGTAAATATCATCTAAAAATCAACCTTGAAATGATTGTTGCGCAAGCTCTGCCTTCGATTATTTTTATTTCCAAAAAAGCCGTGCGAGCTTTAATATAAACATTCGTGTATTATAATATAATAACATTAATTTTTTACGCGTAGTTTTTCGAACCTATAAAATTGTACTCCATAGATCCATAGTTACAATATTTGTGTTCGGGCGTATTTGTGTTCACATATTATATAATATAATAGTTATGTATCGTTAGTTGAGTCGAGCGAAACATGTCCAGAACGATTCGTATAATAATATTATGAATAGATAGTATAGATAAGTGTAAAATCCTCTTGACCCGAACAGTTTATCGAAAATCCAATTACACGCGGGGATAATACAAAATAACTACAAAAAAAACGGGAGCTAAACGGATTTATACAAGACTTGTATCGTTACATTCCTTCATGTACCTACATCTTTTTTCTTAAACTTTACTATTCAACCTATTCAGCCATGTTTGATGGTAATAATATCATAGTAAGAATGCAGCGGTAAAAATGATAATTATTATCATTATATAGTATTATTTTCAAACTACTAATTTCTACGATTCAAAAAATAAAAAATACACTTGGTTGTCTTGTTTGAAGTTTTTTTTTTTTTTGTAAAAACATTAACACTAGTTATTTTACTTTGATCATCATAAAGAAAAAACAAATTAAATGTAAAGACTATAAGATAAATTTTTAATTTTAAAATCTTTATAAAAGATTAAAATATGTTGAATGACTTTAAATTAGAGTGACAATGTTATTCAGAAGAGCATCAATATAAGGAAAGTGGTAACCGATAGAGGGAATTTTTTTTTTTTTATTGGGTTTAATGGAGGAAAGCGCATGACGATTGATAAATAGATGATGTCAGTTACATGAGACACTGCCATATTTGGAAAGAGTAAAAAAGGGGCTCCAGTTTTAAAGAGGTGATAAATTATGGTCGGTTTGAAATAAACCATATCACAAATTAATTGAAAATATTGGAAGATGTTTTTTTTTAAGAACAGAGAAATAGGATTTCGTAAGGTTTTCCTATTTTAGCTTCCAAAGTTTATATGTAAATTTGGTGTTTATACGTTCATGCTCCTCTTCCCCTAAATTTATATTCCGGGATACACCATTGCACTAGCCATTAATATAAGAATCTATCTCGTTCGTTTTTTTCATTCAACCGTTTTTCATACATGGCTTCCAATAAGGGTGGTTGTGAACCGTCTTTACACTACATATAGTCTGTCGGATAGCTGCTCATTCTATTGTATGGTCACGGAATTGATCGTTTAAGGGTAGACAAGGACGAGGGCATGATTATCGCGTATACGCGGCATTTCACCGAGAGGGTATCAATATGCTGTAGGATTTGACTGCGGGGGACGCGAAGAATATAATATGACCAGAGGATCTAAGCAATCTTTTCTGAGCAAAACACAACGACGTATATTTTTCGCACTATTCACCACAGCTGCATCGACATTAAAATATTATATACACACTATACTATGTGTGTATAATGCGGGTTTTCGTTCTGCACACAGTAGTGCATGCAGGCTACAGATAGTAAATAACATAATGCAGGCAATAACAGTAATATCATTTAATGTATATTATAATATAAACGAGACGTCTCGCGGCGTATTTACGACGAGCCACATTTTAAATTATTATTAACGTAGGTGACCACATGGTAACGGGTGCAACAGTGGTAGTCGATTCGGTGTTTTTATTCTATTTTATTTTTTTTATAATTATAATTATTATTTTGTTTTTTTTTTTCGACCGTAAATATATTTTATTCAACTGGCACGCGCGTCGTGCATGGGCGTAACATCAGCATATACATATACATATACATAAATATACATCATTGCAGCATACGTGCAGTGCATCAGCTCAGTACTTATATACCTATACAACAAATAATGTAGATACTCGTGAATGAAATACGCACGTATAAAAATAAAATATATATTGTACAGGGTAATTTTTATGTCGTGAACAAAGTATCACCATAGAAAATGCTAAGGATTTTTAAATCTTCTAAGGACAAACTATTTTTTGGTTTTTGGTGTACCAAAGCAATATTTGTAGTTTTTGAAATTAAAAAAGATTTTTTTCCTTTTACAAATTCTTTCAATTTTCTAAGATTTTGCTTGATTTTTGATAAAAAAATCGCGCTGTATATCTCATGATCGTCAAACTATAATATTGTACAACGGATCGTGCGTGAGTTTCTTGCACGCAAAAGTTAGATAACACAAAGTTTTCATACACAACGTACATTCCCGTTCTATATAATATAAATATATAACAAGAAATACGCACCTCCCCACGCGTATAATGTAGACCATTGGTCGTTGCAGTTGTATGTAAACGTGTTATATATATATATATATATATATAAATGCGTGGTCAAAACCTTATAATATATTTCGATCATTATATAATGATAACACAGCACACACATACACAAGCACACACACACATACACACACTTGCTAACTCGTGCATGAGCTTAACGCCCGATTAATCGCATGCGAATCCAACTCTTGGGCCTTTAATGTTTGTCATGTGCTCGACGTGTATAAACTATAAGACGTGTAACATTATTTTAACAAAGGCGTATATCGTATATTATATGGTGTATATTATATTATGACTATTGCATATACGATTGCGCCGTTGCATTGTGTATACCTACCGTATGAACTGCACCGCGAGTTGTATACATGCATGCATAATATTATCGTACACGTATATATATTATTATAAAAATGCCATAATATTATTATTATGATAATACATTTTAATTGTTTTGATAAATTTTACCATACAACGAGTTTTATACTTCGCCATATTTTTAAATGTTATCATATTATCATTATAATTTTGAGAAAAAAATTTAAATGTTTTATAAATCATATGCAACCCTTTTATTAACTGATGGTTTTTATTTTTTTGTTACTCGTTTTTATAGGGACCCATTGGATTGGACGGACCAAAAGGCGACGTTGTAAGTAATTTATCATAAAGCAATTTATTATATTTATAATAATAACGATATCATACATACATAATGTAGAACAACCCATTTTACCCTTTGCCGTTTTAACTGCAAGTCCCGGGAGATGTAAATATTATCGTGACGAGTCTTTAACTGCAGCTAGGTTAATAATTATGTAATATTGCATGTTATGTATGGTCTAATGGCTCTTAATGTTATAAATAGACTCAATGACGACATACGTTTACAACTCATTAATATTATTATCTACTATATTAGTATATGTTAACCCGATTTATGGTTTTATTTAAATTTTTAACGCATTGAAAATCATTGTAAATATAAAATGATATTTGGTTCGTCATCGTTACAGCTTTAATATATTTTTCCACAATATTTGTTTGAGCAAATGACCTAAATGTTTTTTTTACGCTGAAAATGTCCATGTAATTTTCATAAATCGATAACATAATTACTCGTTATATTTTTTCAAGTTATGTTTTTATAGTATGGTAGTATTATTATGATTTACTATTACAAAATACCGCAATACAGGCCAATTATTCTATAATCTGTATTATAATATGATATGAGTATGATGTGTTTTTTGGCGCTTCTCAGTCCTGTAGGCGCGGTGGTAATTTTTACTCTATAAATCCAAGACATCTTTGAACTATCATTATTATGAAAAAAAACACGTCAATTGTGTGCAACAAGTATTAAACGTGCATCTAATATTTATGTACGATATTTTACTGTTTAATATTATAATGGAAACTATATAGTCATCGAATCGATGCTGTGTCGTGGCTTCCGTGCTTGCGTTTCCGAGCGTCATATTATTTTAATTCTCCGTAACGTAAAGTCGTTATTTTATTGTTATTATTATTATTTTTAATAGTCGAACAAATTATATGTTTTATCCCTTCCGAGTGTTTGTAGTTTTTAACGAATATAAATCGATCTGAATATTATTTAATATACTAAATATACTACTCGGTTAAATGTTCAAGTTTCGCACAGCATCAAGTATATTGTTAAGCTTATTCTTATATTTAAAGATACACTTAAACAGCAGACTATGAATAGCACCACCACCACACTATTATTACAAACTCCTCGTCTTATTCAATGTCTAGATAAATCGTATAATATATACCGTATGTTTCCGACTAATTTGCGGTCGGGTATATATAATGGTGACGTGAAAATGAAAGCTGTTAACGAGGGTTTTTTTTTGTCTACTCTGTGTATAGTGTATACATACTATACAAGTAAAAAAACCTCCGTTGACTGTGTTAATGTATACCGGCTATTTCATGAAGGTAGCGGCAGCCCTTACATCTGGCGTACAACACCAAACGATAACCATTTAAACCAGACCGATTCGTTTTTAAACTAAACCGTATTCGCACCCTCGTTTATATGTTGTCAAGCGTATATTACAGCATCTATATATAATATATATACAATGATATAATGATACACACACAAATATATATATATATATATAATATATATGTAACAGGTGTGGCCGATCGACGAGTGTAGATATCGAAAGCGAGAACGAATTTATGATCTTTTTGGCACCGTACGTAACGCGTGTTTTTCGTATCGCAGATAAGTCGATTTCATATACATGATTCGTTAGAATATTATATATATATAATATATATATATCGTATATGTGTGTATTCAAACGCTTTATAGCACGTGCGTGTAAACGCGTTCGCATAAAAATGTTTTACTAGTTTTTTTCCTTAAGGAAAAGTTTGTACAGCGCATACAAAACAGCCATACTTCCTCTCGTCGTACTACACGCCACCCCTTCGAGGTAGTATAGGTATATATACGATTCTTTTCGATCCAAAGTTTTTAAGATTCCGTACAACTACTGCGGTGAAACACGCTTATATTATACAGAATTGATTTCACTCGATACATAATTTATTATCGCCAATAACCCTCGGGTGGGTACAACGCCATAGCTATATTATAATAATGCATATATGTTGGCAGGTACACCTTACACATGCATTTACAGAGTATGTAAGTATACTCATTAATGCAATAAATGCAAATTTATAAAAATTTTTTCTCACTCCAAACTATGGATTTTTTTTTAAGGACTCTAATTAATGAATAAATATTCCATAGTATTGTCTAAAATTTTCACGGGTGCACTGACTTTTCACGTATTATTATTAGTTTCTAACTGTTGATAACTATTGATTTTTAATGTGACGTCATAGATTATATTTTTATTACCTATGTTAATGTCATAAAATTATATAACTATGATATAATATTTATTCAGTCATTTTTCTACACGAAATTCACATCTGGTAAATCAGTATAATTTAAAATATTTGCATTTGAATTTATGGTTATTGGGTTATATTATTATTATTATTATCGATCTTTATACATATATGATATGGATGAAAATAACTGTTTCCTTTAAGACGCTTACAAAATATAACGCTCGCAGAAAATAAAAAAATTAAATTACAAAAACTTTGTTTTTTGGATACTTCTTTGGATATATTTAATTTAATGGTGAAATTTGTACTAGAAACACTGTTTTCCGATATCATTACGTCAATGCAATAATGAAAAGTTGTTGCTCGCACCGACAATATTATATAGATGTATGTAATATAATTGTATAATATGTATTCAGACTATTCAGTTACGATATATACATTTCAACCGTTAGTATATCAATTTTCAAAGGTAAATAAAAGAAATCGTTTTAAATGGAAATTAGTGTTCATTAGTTTTAAACTGTACTGATTTGTGGGCATGTAAGCCAACCGTGTAGGTTTCATGATAAACCGCGTCAGTCGTTTTTACCGCGCTTGAAACCGCTTCGCCTATTTTACTGATCCTACGTAGGTTTTATATGAATATCGTTTGAAAAAAAAATAATCATAGTAATAATAAAAAAGTTTAGGCGAGGACGACATATGCACACCTCGATGTTTTTATTATACTCCGGGATGTTTGCCGCTATAATATAATTGTCGCGTTTCCGGCCTTCTTGTGTGCGATAGCATGATAATAATATAGGAAATATATATTATATCGACAATGGCTCGCATTTTACTCGGCCGTAACACGATTCATAATAAGAGTTATTGTCGTCCGCCTACACAATATTATATTCATATTTATTATATAATAATATTTTGTTTTTGCTCGATGTAAAAAAAAAAAAATAATAAATTAAATTTATAAAACGTACCTGAGGATGTCGTCGTCAAATAAAGAAATACGACTAATTGACGACTATATTAGTAGATATGCACTATTATATTATGTTGCAACACTATAATACATGCCTATCTATACGGACCGAGCCATCTAAACCAGAAGTATTCATTGTAAGAGTTGCAGCGAGTCGTTGCGGGTTACAACCGTTGATTTCATGCACGTTATATTATATTATAGGTACATTAGATTTTAGTGATCATTAGCTGAGAATTCATATGATATATTTTATGTTTAAGTTCTTCAGTAATATGTATAGTGTACTGGGAACTAGTATATTATTGTAAGCGGTGTCTTTATCGAATACAACATTAACACTGCGTTATAGACTATAGTCAACCTTAAACATGCGTTTGATGAAGTCATCTGTTAGACCTTAATTCGAGTGTTATAGATAAAAAATAAATAGTTCACCACATACCATATACCATGTACATATATTGCCACCGACGACTACCGCCATTATATAATGAACAGTCGAAACCTGTACACACTTAATTATGTTCATGTATGTATACACATTACACATATTGACGAATATTAAAATTGAGTTGAATTATTCTATACCTACATAATATAATAATAATTTATTTATTATAAACGTGTGAGATACTATACCATTATAGTATGGTGCATTATTAGTGATGTACACTATATATGGCAAGAAATATATAACCTTATTTTAATTATTAAACGATACATTGAGGAATATTAAAATTTTTGTATTTTCGTTAAACAAATAAATTTTACAAATTCACACATAAACTTTAACATAAAGATAATAATAATAATAATAATAATAATAATAATAATAAATAGTAATAATACAATGAATTTTAGCAATGCGAAAATTTAAAAGTTTTCTCATTATCTTCTACGACATTAGTAGTTGAGTTGGTCGGACTCAAAGTTTATAAGTCTGTTCTTTATTTATAAACTGTAGAACTATGCGGTATTAATCGTCACCAGACCAAAGCATTAAAATGTACAAAGTTTTTATTTTAAATATTATGTTATTACTTATTATTATATAATAATATTTATCCTGTTGTTAATTAGTTGATTTAATTTCCGGACAGTTATTTTAAATTAATTACAAGCTCTTATACTCACATATGAGTTGCTTTGTGTGCTGTATATATGATTTAGAATTATAAATAACGGCGATTTGTTTCCACTTTGTTTTATTAAATTATTGTTAGTTTATAGACAAGAAAATTATTATGGGAAAAATTATAATACGGTGTTTGTTCGGCCAACCAATTATATAATATTATGTTCTTACGGAAATATGATGTGTATAAATGTGTAACTATGTATTACAATAACTGTGATGGTATTAATTATTTCATTATTATTTTGAAAAAACCCAAACTTAAGTTAACTGCCATATAATAATATAATATTATGATGTATTGAATTAAAAATTAAATTTTATCGTGTGAAATGAAAACAACGGTCAACTGTTGTAGAACAAAATACTATATTATATTATTATACATAAATACATAATGGTATACCCACCACGAAACCATAACAAACACACTCGTAAACAAACTGCAGCTTACAACCCACAATAATAATAGGACCTATATTATAGGTAGGTTACGTGTGTAATATATACGTATTATAGTATTTACCACGGAGATGTATCATTGTATGTCCGCCTTGCTTTAGAAAACTAATGCTTCCGTTCGTGTTGCGAATACATTATTATGTATTACTATTATTACCAG